GTGTGTGTGTGTCTAGAGAGAGTAACTGAAGTACACTTGTGGCTTCTTTTTCATTTTTCAGATGGGGCTTGCTAAAGTGTCCAGAATGGGCTCAAACCTGCAATGCATTTTCTGAGGGCTTCCAGTGAGCTAGGATTATGAATGTGTGCTGTTACACTTAGCCTCTGCTATCTTGAAGTACATAATTACAATAAAGTCTAGATAAGGTGGCTAGTTAGAATCTAATAAAAATTAAAATACTAACACCCCAAAATGTGTTTTGATGTTGAGTCAAAAATCTACAATGTTGGGGCCAGGGAGATGGTTCAGTGGAATAAGCACTCCCTGGCAAGCGCAAGGGCCCGAGTTCAATCCCTGGTTCCCCCTGACCCCCAAAAAAAGAAAAGAAAAAAAAAGAAAAAAAAAGAAAAAAATCTACAATGCTTGCTTCTTTCTCTACATAATAGTTTAACATTCTATATTGATTCATTTGTATTTTCCATTAAGATTCTTACCAACTCCTACCCTATTATCATGATCTCTGTCAAATCATATTCCTTCTAAAGAGTCTCTACTAACCACCCAATCAAAAGTAAATGCTTGCTGTATAAGGTCTATTACATACCTGTTGCCTGTTTTTTATTACAAGGCCCTTTTTTCTATAGATGAAACTAGAGATATTTTTACACTTATGGCTATCAAAGAGTATAAAACCAGTAGATGCCTGACAAAGACTTATTAAATCATATATGTGTCTATCAATTCCTATTATCTCTGATGGTACTATTGAGTTGTATTTGCACAAACTCTTGTTACTGTAACACAGTTATTGCTGAAATTTTGTCACTCCTTTGAATTCCTTTAACTTCTAGATTTGTCACATGTTTTTGGCTTCAAGCCTCTATCAGGAATCCAGACAAATTTTGCTGTAGCTGACATGTAACTATGCAATTGTCTTGTCTTTAGAGAAAAATATCATATAGCCATTTCTAATATCAACATTAAAATTATTGCTTATTGAGTATCTTTATGTCAACTCTTTAAGCCATAAAAGCCTCAAAAATATGCAGATAAACACATGCAAATGAAATAGCACAGTACATTAGAATAATGCAATTTCATTTTTTAAAGCTTCAGTAATGCCTCCTTTCAAATCTAAGG